ACAATAACTTAGTATATCAATTTTATAATAATATAATCAAAACAGGCATACAATTCAATCCACTACGACAAAATTGACTTTTTACGATGAAAAATTTTCGACCAACGTTAAATTTACTCGAGTTATAATGAAGATATGCATTTTATAGAACATATATATTGTCGTACCACATGTATGCGATCACAAAGGTAAATACACATAAAATTTGAACATATATATTGTCGTACCATATATTGTCCATTATCAACGCCCATAATTACTTGAATCCAATTACAATTCTAGAAAATTATTCAAAATTGTAACTACGTGCATAGAATACCTACCTCATCTTTACAATTTATAGATTTATTGGATATGAAAAAGTAGCCCGAATTTACAAAAACTAAGTGGATAAAATGTAGATAAGAGAATAAAATAGAAAAGTAAAAAATTAGTTTCTTCAATTCAAAAAAAACATATATTTTAGTCTAAAAAGAATTATTTCTCTTATAAAATAAAACTCATCGAGTAACAGGTTTATATTAAAAAAAACTAGGGTGAGCACATCAGTTTCAATTCGGTTTTAATATCAATTCGATTCGGTTTGAAACAGGTTCGAATCATACTATGTTTTGGTTTAGTTCGGATTAATTCAGTTCATTTTGATTTGAATTTGTTATGTTTAAAAACATATTAAGAATATATTGGCTATTTGAATTCAGCTCGACCTTATTCAATTTCTCATGATCTCAATTTGTTTTAGTTTGATTTAATTTGATTTGAAAGACATACCACTATATTCAAACAAAATTGTGTATGATTTGATTTCGGTTCAATTTGGTATAATTTGGTTTACTCAACCGAACCGGTTTACCGACCCCCTAAAAAACACCAATGAAAGCTCATTCTCTCATAAGTGACATCCATGGAAGTCAAGTAAAGTAGTACTTATTCATAAGACCCCGTTGAGTAACATTGCAATTGACATAATTGGTTAAACTGCTAAAATTATGAAATTCTGACTGAATTGATTAAATTTTCTAATTCTACAAAATATTAGAAAATTATACTCCGTATTTAAAATATACTTCATCCGTCCCTTATAACTTTGCCAAGTTTGACTGGCACGGGGATTAATAAAGTAAAAACTGTGTGGTTGAGGTTTGTGCAGAGGAGAAAGAATTAACTGGAACCACAAATTTTTTACTTAAAAGAGAAAGTGGCAAAGTTAATGAGACATCCAAAAAGGAAAGTTGACAAAGTTTTAAGGGACGGAGAGAGTATTTAATTAGTGAAATAAAAAATTAGATGAAAATTAATGTAAATTTCTCTTAACCTTTTTCTTTATATATCCAATTTTTATCAAATTTTAGTTTTTTGCAACTTTACAAGACGATAATTTTTTAATATGTAAATTTTATTTACTAAAAATAACTTTATTATTAACAAGGCCACTTAAGTTTATGACATGTCAAATATCATAAACTCAACTGGGACGGTTACCCGAACCGGAAGTAATAACCAATATTCATTCGATCTCTTTTTTATTTGAGTAATGAGAGTTGATTTTTCCGTGCAACGCAGTAATTCATTGTCTAGTTATCATAATCCTGGATTGGTGGGTGTTCCGAACCGGAGGGAACATATATGCATGCGTGTGGGAGGCGGGTAGGGGACTAAGTTTATTATTATTGAGGAAGTAAATTTGTAGTCTTTGGTAACTATTTTGATATTTCAATCTTGGAACGTAAATATGGGTTGAAGTCTTGAATACTCCGTATGATATTGCAAATGATATATATATTCCTTCACCAGCTTATACCAAAGAACGTGTGATCTAGACTTTTTGAGAGTTCACATGGTTACATGGTACACCTAGACATTTGTCGACATTTGTAGGGCCTCCATTTTAAAAAATAATACAGTAGTATTTTATATACTTAAATCTTTAATTAAATTCATTGAAATACTTAAAAATTAGTTTAGAACTAAAGCTACGTTGATGCAAAATATATAAAAAAATCAAGATTAAGCATGTTGGGTGATATATTTGAAAATAATGACAAATATATGATCTAAATAAGAGTGAATAAAATATGTCTTTTTATACTTCAGCGACTATAACTTTAGTGATCATGATCGTGTCAACTATAATGCATATGCATTGATAATAATTCAATATCCTAATTCGAGTATGTTTTGAGAAATAGTTTTGATGTCTACGTATATAATATAATGAGTTATTGATGACAAATGTGACGTTATAAATGTATTATTTTTAAAATTTATTATTAAATTGTCATTTTTAATTGTTTTCTAAAATAGAAAATGAAAACATTTAGTTGAGATGTCTAAAAAAGGAAAGTGACAACCTTTGAATGGAATGAAGGGTAATAGTTTTCAATAAGTTATACTCCCTCCGTCCCGGTCATTTCTTCCAATTTTCCTTTTTGGGTCGTCCCAATTAATTCTTCCAACTTCCACTTTTGGAAAAAATATGTGGTTCACATTCATTCACATTTTTCTTACACAACTACAATCATACATTTTCACTTTATTCCCACTACCTAAATTTGCGATACCGGTCAAAATTGGAAGAAATGACCGGGACAGAGGGAGTACTAGTATTTCACTAATATTTAAGGAAAACAGTCTTATATTAATTGGATTGACTATTATCTCGATTAAAAAAGTATTACGTATGTGGTATTAGTGAGTCTTGATTGTAGTAGTTTTCTTACCAAATTTGCTATTAGAATCTCCATGTGTTTTTCACTCTTTTATTGCTTACATTCAAAGAATGATATTCTTTGCATTAGTAACAAATGGTATATTTTGGACTGTACTTTACTTCTATTCGGGGCGTAATTAGAATGTCCTTTTTAATTTAGGCTCCGATCCTCTCCAAATTTGTAAAATAATTATATATAAAGAAAGAAAATTTGATGCATTTGAAATAGAGAATTATTGGGGGGAATAATTTAGGAGTTTATATAGACTTTTTTTGAAAAGAGTTTTTTCAGACTTGAAAACTCTTTATAATAGAGTGACAAGTTTCTTTAATTGAGAGTCTTTGTCTAGACAAAAGAACATGAAGAACTTTTGTGTGTTGTTAGTATATATTATAATCTATATTAAATATAATAAAGTTTAATAAAATAATATTTTAAAACAGTTTGGTCCGGGTACCCATTGTTTCAAATTTTAAGACACGTGTGGTTCCTAAGATTTTAAGGACCCGTCCTGGCCCGAACCGATTGTGTTTTCTAAAAAATACTACCCGACCCTAACCTGTGTCGAACGTGTATTACCCGGCCCGACTCACGGTTCCTCTACCCGTTTGCCCACCCTTGAATCCACCCCACCTATAAATACATGCAATCTTAGAGCATTCGTCCATTGCATTTGCTTCCTAAACAGGTTCCAAACACGTACAGAAGAACATAGGATATATTAATTAATACTACGTATTACGTATTAAATTATTACTCCGTAATAAATAGCAGTTTGATCAACTGTCTTTGTCTGTGTATATATAGCAGCATGCAAATGCATGCAATGTGGTCGGCTCCAAAAGTGTTTATCATTCTCCTGCCATTCATGCTTCTATGTAGCTTTAATTTAGCTACGGTCCAAGCGTCTGTTGTTCATCGCCACAAATTCATTGTGAGTACTTGTGTTAACAATTTAGTTATGATTTTGAAATTTCGAAATAGAACTGTAGAATTAATTCGTGATATACTTAAAAAATTGGTGGAATTTCGTAGATACGACTAAAACATTGATAAAATGCACAAATAGAAATATAGAATCATCATTTTGTTTCATTCCTAAATAAGACTCATAGACTCTTAATTGATTATTTTTTTTCTTTTAATTTAATAGGATGAGATAAGTCATATATATTTATGGAATTATATACATATTAACCTATGTATCCACGTTGATGAACTTTTAGTCTTATTTAGATCCATTACTAGAAAAAATAGTGTCTGTTATGATACTCCATAGTATAATGCCATATTGTAAATGAATAAATGATATAGAGAAATTTATTACCGATATAACTAAAACTTGAGGTACTTCCCATTGTATGACTACTTGAGTAGTTTTCATAATATATGACCGCACATGCTCATCTTCTATGCACGTGTGTTTTATTTTTTTTAATACCAATTGTGTCCTCTCTTTCAATTAATGATTTGATTTTTTCATCCTATAAATAATTGACCGCCAAGCATATCACGTATAATGGAATGGAGCTTAACCAGCGGAATCATAACTGCCTTTGCGCATAACTGCCGGATTATTAATGGGAATATCCTAAAAATAAGGAAATAATTAATTGAATGTAAATATATTCATTATTTTTATTCCTATCCCTATCACCCGACTTTCTTCTTCTACGAACTGTGCGTTCATCTTCACCGGCTCAAAGCACGTACATTTCACCGCCAATCTTGGAGTGAAGCAGTATCCATGTATTCTGTCCCCGTAGGTTACCCGGAAACATGGATTATGATACTTGTCATTTTCAGGAGAACATGTTCGGAGACAAGCATGTACTCGTTGCCTCATAGTTTGACTCAATAGAAAGACTTGTAGAAATCTTATTGCGCTACACATGCGTTATAAAATGTTTTTATTTGTCGTTTTCATTTCGTTATTGTGTGTTTATTTTCTGATACTTTAATTACGTCATTATGTTATTTTTATGTGAATGAGTATGATTTCCTTATTGTACTGCCTTAAAGACATTAATTCAATCTCAAAATGACATCATCAATGAGCCTCTTACATATATGGATCCATTAACCATTTTATTTTATTGCACTCGACCTCCTTCGAATTATTGCCCACTGTTTGTCATTTCATTTTTCTCAATTCTTTTATAATTTCAATGCTTCAAATACAATCTAAAAAACACATACTCATACATCATTGTACAGTAATACACTTTGTCCTGCAACGTGCCACATTTTTATTCATTGTCCTCCAAGTTTTTACAACCATTACCAATTGCCCACATGATAACACAACATATATAGTCAGTCCATCTATAGTGCACTAACATATATCTACTCCAACAAATACACATTTCAAAACAAAATATTAGAATTAAAAGTTCAACTGGTGTGATTAATGTTCTCAAAAAATCGACATTCAAAATCAAAATAATACTTCAATATATTTTATCCACTTCTCTTAATATCCATCACTCAAAATTCAAAAAAACATTCGTCATCAGTTTTTCAAGTTTATGCTCCTATGACACCAAAATGAACTAGTAACTATGTTGTCATCTTGTTGCGGTAAGCATTCATATCTCCTGGCCTCACGTAATCAACATCCTTGCCCATCATCAGATACTCAGCCATCTTCAACACAAACATGCCACAACTGTCATTGTTCAGAAATAAATAAAATCATTACTTCATGAGTTAGTAATCATTTATAATAAAACCTACCTATCAAATAATGCCCTGGTATATTGCCTCATAAAAAATTGAATACTTTAGCTACAACTCAACACATTCTGATATTAGTAACACAAACATTTACTTCCCTAAAATCAATATCCTACCTTACATTCTTCTCTTCTAAAAACAACTTTATTGCCCTGCATTTATACACTACAAATAATGCCTAAAAACATCATTCATAACCAATTTGTCCTAGCCAATTTAATGCCCTACTTTCACAACACATTCTATTTCATCAAATCCTGCAATATAAAACATTCATCCTTTCATATGAATTACAATCACACATCTACAAAGTTTTAGTTCAAGCACCTTTACATAATAATTCCCCAAAATATTCAATTAAAATACTATCTAATGCTTTTGAAGCAAACATTGCCCTGATTTATTGCCTCCCAAATAATATAATATTTTAGCCACAACTAACCACAGTTTGATATTAATAACACAAAATTTTAAGGAATTACAATGTTTATTGGTTGAACAATGTCTATTTCACAAAACATTACATTTCCCCAAAATACTGCCCTACTTTATGGACACACAACCAATTCTATCAGCAACCACAAAATTTTACATGGAACAAGTAGTGAACTATCTCATTTACGTTTTATTCCCTACAAACATTGTCTTACCATATATCTCTTAAAAAAATTCTTACTGCCCTGCAAAACAAAATGTCTTCCCCAAATAATGCCCACAGAAAATCACCATCCAAAACAAACTATCTCACCCAAATTAATGCACTAATTTCTCAACACATTCTAATTCATCGAACCATTGTCATAACATTTCTACATACACCCAATTCTATCAGGAACCGACCAAACTGAGCAGGTTTTCACCGCCTATTGCACAACACCTGCTATTTCCCTAAATTAATGACCTGCGCTATACGTCCTTCTCTATCCCTGCAATGTCCATCAAACTTCTCTTAAATACAGAAAAACTTAAAATTCCATCGATAGTAAATACATGAGATTCATTCGCTTCCTCCTCCGTTGACGCTTGTGGTCTTTAATCCGGTTTCTTCACTGCTCTTCTTCCCCGCTTGGGAGTTGTCTTCGTCATCTTTGCTTCGCTACACACCGCCTCTTCCCCACAATTCACATTAAATCCTCCCGTCAAATATTGCGTGAAATTTTCCGTACCACAGACGGTTCATCCGTTAATACGGCGCAGGTTTTTCGGATATTACCCGGGTTAGGAGCCCACTTTACGGCGCATAATCCTGGCATATTGCTTTTCCGTTTCTAGGCTTTTCAATTAATTGGAAGGTCAATTTTGGTATTTTACTTCCCTTAGCCCGTGCGCCCATGTTTGACTTTATATGTTTGGTCACACGGATGATAAATAAACACACATGGTCATATTTTGGGAAAAGTCACATGTTTTAGTATTATTTAAGTATTTTTCCCAATGATATATATCTTCCTCCTCCTGCTCGAAGAAAATATTCATGTGAGGTATTATAAAACTTACCATTTTAGGTGCTTTCAGGTCGAATTTTTTTATAAAATTTTGTGAGCATGTTCTCTTTGAAGTGTACATTATTTCTACCAAATTTCAGATTAAAATTTAATCGGAAATTCATTTAAATAAATTATTTAAGAAAAACTGCATTATATATATATATATAACTGCACAATTTTCAATAATTTATTTGCCTTCAAGATTGAATTTTACCTTGAAATTTGATGTGCATAGTCTACACTTCATACATAATATGCTTACAAAGTTTCATCAAGCAAAAAAATTGACTCAGAAGCACCTCAAATGAAAGAAGCTAAAATTATAAGTTTTAGATCTACCTTACATGATCATTATCATATACTTCGTGTGTGTGTGTGTGTGTGTCTGTGTGTGTGTTGTTTTTTTTTTTAGTTTTTTGCTTTTTTATATATATAGTTCGAATATATTGAAATATTATTCGAATCGAATATCATAGTATTTATATTTCAATTCGAAAACTATTCGAATCAAAAAACAGATTTGTATTTGTATATTATATTTACTCGAATTTGAATCCACATTATCGAATTTGAATCACGAATCAAATCAAAATTATTCGATTCATTTACAATATTTTGACGCTCTTATTATACAGAGTATTTAATTAGTAAACATACAAGGTATAATTAAAGTATATTATTAAATATTTAGAAAAATTTCATTTCTTCGTGTATCAATTTTTCATTTCCAAATTTTGCTTTTTTCAGTAACCTTTTCAAACCAACCTTTGAAAAAAAGGATGACACCTCATCCCTTAGGGGCCCCGGAAACGATCAGACAGTTATCTCGGAGGATGTAAATTAAGTTTTTATTTGTCTCACTGTGATGGAAAGAGAGTAGGGTTCCATTGCAAGTCATTGCTTAATGCTTCTTAGAGTTGAACTCGTGACTTTTCCCTTGTGGCACCCCTTCCTTACCTTTGAAAATACATGTAATAGCACTTTCGGTTCCATAATTCTACATACCCATCAAGGCATCAACGTAACTTTCAATGTATTCAGGTTGAAGAAGTTAACTACACGAGGCTATGCAGCAACAAGAAGATCTTAACAGTGAATGGGCAATTCCCAGGACCGGTTCTCTATGCTAATAAAGGTGACAGTGTCATAGTTGATGTTTACAATAACGGTACTCAAAACATAACGATTCACTGGCATGGCGTGAAACAACCAAGGAATCCATGGTCAGATGGTCCCGAGTTCATAACCCAGTGCCCCATCATCCCAGGAAGTAATTTTAGCCAGAGAATAGTGCTCTCGGATGAGGAAGGCACCATCTGGTGGCACGCCCACAGCGACTGGTCTCGTGCCACCGTTCACGGTGCCTTCATTGTTTATCCCGCCACCAACGGCACTCAATATCCTTTCCCTAAACCTTCTGCTGAAGTGCCCATCGTGTTAGGAGAGTGGTGAAAGAGTGACGTCCGGAAAGTTCTCGACCAATTTCTCTCTAGTGGAGGGGGCCCTAACATGTCTGACGCTTTTCTCATCAATGGCCAACCCGGAGATCTTCATGCATGCTCCATGAACGGTATGGTACACTACACACTAGCTAGCTAGTTTGATGAATTAATTCCACTTTTGATCCTACGAGTTTTATGTCAATTTCACATTATATTTAGTCCACTTCTTTTACTTTGTCCACCTTTGGTACTCGATTAATGTTTTTAACCGTTTGTGGTCCTCTTCCCGCTATATTAATTATCGGAAACATTGCCGGAAGAACAATATATGGGCAAACACACAATAGTCATGTATCAAAAGTAAACAAAGCGAAAGATGTGGACTAAATATGGAATTGGCCTAAAACTCATAGGACCAAAAGTGGAATTTATTCTTAGTTTGATCGAATTTCTTAACTTTGTCATTTTTTTAAACAATGAAGGCTTATATTATAATATTAGAAACTCGCAAAGCGACAATTAGACAAACTCTCACATTTTGGTCACCAGTCCTAGAATTAGACATAGAAGTGTATGTGTTACTGTTAAGACATGGGTTTCATCCTAAAAGGTCAACCTGATAGGAGGAGTAGCCCATGTTTTAAGACACAGGAGTAGTCTTGGGATGAGTGACCGCCTGGGAAGTTTCTCAGGGCGCGCACGAGTGAGGACAAAGTGCACGTTAAAGGCTCGTGAAGTTTTGTGAGGATAGTACTAGAGTCTGGAGTAACTACCTCGGGTCCTGCGGGGCCAGGGTGTTACAGTTACAAACATAACAATTCGCTAACCACTCAACGGGCAACTTGAAGCATATTTTGAACAAAACATAAGGACTTCCCAATAGAACACCCACAAATCGAATGTTCTAACTAATAGTCCAAATAAAAATAACCTAGAATCGTGACTAAAGAGTCCAAAAGCAACAAAACACAAAGCAAAGCAATAAAAATAAAACTGCAAGCAGAAAAAATAAATTTAAAAGTTTAAGCCATTACTTTTCAACTTGTCGGGCGAGTGTTACCCAGAGCTCGCCCCCACTCCATTTTTTCCTCCACTGGTTTCAACCTCCATCATTGTGTATGCCTCTCCTGACAATTCCAATCTACATCGCTTCTGCTTAGCTACTTGTACTCCTTCCCCCAGGTTCTCTGGATCTGAAGCCTCACCTGCATAAACATCTGTACTCGAACCCACAACCATTATCTCCCTTTCCAGATTGGACCCCTCAAAACCTCCATCAATATCAACCCTCTGTTTATTGAAATTCTCTGCCACGGGCCATTTATTTCATCCACCTCTACTACTAAATCCACTACTTGCCCGCACCGCGGACAAAATTCCTTTAGTTGTGCTGAATTTAGGTGATCCGGAATCTGAGGACAAAACCTATCACCATGGCCAATAAGCCTGCAAGCGAAACAAAAATAGGGGAGTTTTTCATATTTCAAGGCAACCCATAGACAAACCCCATTTGATTAATGAACCTTCAAGTCTTTCCTAAGCGGTTTCCTTGTATTATCTAGACAAACCCGGACCCTCAAATAAGCCCTCAATCGCCCCTCAAATTGGTTATCATCAAGCTTAACAAAACTCCCAAGTTTATTACCAACAATTATAGCAACCCTCATGCTCTGTTTGGGTAAAGTGAACTTAAGTAAACCTAGTGCAATATAGTAAATCTATGTTTTAATACAAACTAGGTTAACCTAACTACCTAAGTGAACTTAGGTTCATGCGTAAAATCGTGTTTGGAAATAAATAAGGTGAACCTAGGTTAATGTAATAAATGTTGTTTGGATGGAGGTACTCTAGCTTATTTTATGTTAAACGAGAACTTAACCTCTAAAACCCCCCACTTCGCAGGTTCTGCAATTTAAGGTTTTCCAGGTTCTCAAAGGTTATGTGAGATTAACTCATAACCTAGGTTCTTGTTGCATTAACACAAACAAACGAGGTTAACTAAAAATTGAACCTCCAATAACCTAGGTTAACCCCCAAACAAACAGACCATTAGAGAGTCAAATACTCTACTAGTAAGTTATGCACTTGAATCCAAAACTCTGAGAAGTATAAAGGACCTTTTAAAGGCGGATCATTCATCTTTAATTCATGCAGCACAACAAGATTTTGATGATAAAGCCACCGACTATACTTTAAAACAAAGTCTCATATTAATCCCATGATAGAAAGAAAATAGATACCTCTTATAACAAATATCTTTGATCGAAACACCATGCTTGGTCTCGAGACAGAGGCCATAGAATCTCTGAAAAGCAAAAAATTGACCACCTTTTTCGACACAACGGTACCCATGAAGGACCATTATATTCAGATAGCCCTCCTTCTTGCTCCTCCTTCTCGCTGATGTCAGCCAATACCAGATCTACCGCACCATCATCATCTTCAATTCCTCCCGTTGCAGCCTTCCATAATGATCGACTAGACCGTGCAGAGTATCGATGTCGCCTAAAACCAAAGGATTAGCCGATCAAAAAGAAAAACGGATAAAGCAACGTGCAAAAACCAGCGATGCTATTCCCTGCGTAGAAATCACAGCACCCACCCAGCAACCTTCGACTAAATAAATAGAAGTTGAAAGAAAAGAAAGCAAAACAACAACCTTTGTCGAATCCAATCCCTTCACCCTCACAGACATGCAGCCAAGGTGAGCAAAATTATCCGCACGCGACGGCGGTCCTAGCAACCCTACTCCATGAGGGGAAACAGTCCGCTAGCTTAATGGTGAGAGTCAATGACGGGCTAAGTGTATGTTTGGCACAATTAACTTAAAAAATACTTTTGTGAACTTTTTAGTAACGGTTAGCTTTTAGTGACTAAATAAATTTTAAAAAGAAAACGGGTGGTAACTGTTTGGTAAAAAGCTGACTGTTTGATTTAGTTCGATTCGGTATACAAAGTACTGTTAGGACTAATTAATACTAAGAGTCACGGGCTTTTCTCAAATGCTACTCTATGTAGCATCTCAAAAAAAATCTTTTAATTTTTGAAAATCTCTTAAAAATTGTCATGTCAAACATACAACTATAAGCTTTTAGAGACTTTTTGAATAGTACAAAAGGTAGGGTATAGTTGTTTGACACAACTAGCTGAAAAGATACTTTTGTGAGTTTTTTAATAATTGTTAGCTTTTAATGACTGAAAAGATCTTAAAGAGAAAAGGTGGTAGCTGTTTGGTAAAAAGCTTAGTGTTTGACTTAGTTCGGTTTGGTATACAAGTTGTTAGGACTAATTAATACTATAAGTCACGGGCTGTTTTCAGATGCTACACCTTGTAGCATCTCAAAAAAGATCTTTTAGTTTTTGAAAAGCTCGTAAAAATTGTCATGTTCAACATATAACTAGTAGTTTTTAGAGACTTTTTGAACAGTACAAAAGCTAGAAGCTAGAGACTTATGCCTGTCAAACATATCCCTAGAAGACAGAGAGTTATGTCTGCCAAACATAGCCTAAATCTTTCGCTCTTAACTTTTTCACTATACTCAATTTTTTAATTTAGTTGAGAAAATTATTCCAATTAAATAAGACTAGAAAGAGTAAAAAATTAGGACCATAACTTTTTTAACTTATGAGTGAATGTGAGGATTGGTGCAATCATTTCCTTATTTAAAATAGAAGTAAAAACGTTTTGAAATTTCCAGTGTCATGTTTTTTATTCCCTGAATAGGAGTAATTTGTCAAGTTTGGAAAAAAATGTCTTGTTTTAAAGCTTAGTAATGCCAAACTTGGCAAAAATGTACTCCTATTCAAGGAATAAAAAACATGACAGTCCTATTTTGAAATTTCAAAACTTTTTTACTCCTATTTAAGGAATTCTCTCTATTTAAAAAATGTTTGTGTAACTAGCGAGTACATCGTACTCAATCAAGAATGTTGTGATGCCATTATACAAGTATTATCAAGTTAAAATGATAACTTCAAAAATCAAATAAAATTGCCTTTATCAAACACGTACTGATCCATGCAGGGATGGATTTAGGGGGGGGCGGGGGGGGGGGGGGGGGGGCGACCGCCCCCCTTGGACTTTCAAATTTTTGTACTATATATGTAATATTTTCATACTTTAATTAGATATATATGTTTTCGCCCCCGTTAACTTTTAGTTTTAAAAATTAATACATAGCATTACATAATGTAATACATAATTGGAGATTTAAAAATAGTAACATCTAAAATAATTTACTTAACTTAAATGGATAAAAAAATAGCACAACTCATTGTTTAAGACACATGATACCTATTATATAAAAATTTCTAGCTTTGTAACATTTAATTGTCTTTATTAGATAATTAGTACTCGATTTTGTAAAATATCGAACAATATTAAATACCATACACACAAGTTAAAATTTTTTAGATCATGTGAAGTGAATCTAAAATATAAATGTTTATTGACATTAAATTACACAATTCATTTACTTATTACTTTCTAAAAACAATTTGTTGCATAGATAATAAACTTGAACTTATTTTAGCATTAATACAAATACAATATGCACCATATATGTGAATAACAATACTATGTATTATATTACTCTAAAAATAATAATATTGCACATACTATTGTAATATTAAGAAAACTTTTTGTGACCCACGAACACCATACTTAGTAGACAAAAATTGCAATTCAAAAATCAATTCTTTATTCTAATAAGATCATATAGATAAACAAAGCAGAAGTTATTTAAAAAGACTTGGTTGATGTGTACTTCTTAAACTCTTTACCTTCAAATAATGTTCATTTGATTTGTCATTTCTTATGTTTTAATGTATCAATACTTTGTTTAGACCATTTACAATTATAAAATTAAAATTATTTTTCATTGTTTAAATTTAGAATGTACTCCCTCTGACCCCTAACTTTGTGTCGTTTTATCTTTTTTGTCTGTCCCATTAAGTTTGTCGCATACCATATTTGGTAATATTTGAGTGGTTAAAATTCATTTTTACTTTATTCATACTTTATCAATTCAATATCAACCACACAATTCTACTTTTTCTTAAAAACCACACCACACCCCTTTGTCCCAAACTTAGGGGGGACGGAGGTACTAATATTCTTCTACCGGTGGATTTAAATATCATCGTGTATGTACCGATGGATTTTTTTGAATGAAAATTAGCCGCAGAGCCCTATGCTAGCGAATAAATCTGCCCCACTACACAAGCGGAAAAAATTGCCACGATTTTTTCACCCCCTATACTAACGGGAAAAAATTCGCCCCCCTTGACTCGAAATCCTGGATCCGTCCCTGGATCCATGCCATTCTGACACCTTGATACATGATTCATATAAATGTCATCTTAATTACCACTTTACAATACATAAAATATAATGCTATCTTGACTATGGCACACCTGAAATAACTTGAACTTGGGCATGCATGTTAGATACCGTTATACCACAATAATGTACCATACGTAGTACTGTATGTGGTAAACTCTAAATAGGAGCATATGATCGAGTCCTAAAATGGGAATAACATATACGGAGTATACACTCATATTATGGCATTTTGATTATATTTTAATTTAGTAGAATAATTTCTTAATTTAACTCATGTACTTAATTATGCACAGATACATTCAAGTGGATCAGGGGAAAACATATTTGCTACGCATGGTGAACGCAGCGATGAGCACCATCATGTTCTTCTCCATAGCAAACCACGATATCACTGTGGTGGGAGCAGGTGGGTCCTACACAAAACCATTCAAAAGTGATTATATCACCATATCCCCGGGTCAAACCATTGACTTCTTGCTCGAAGCCAATCAGGCCCAGGACCACTACTACATGGCTACCAAAGCCTATAGTAGTGCTCCAAGGGCCGCGTTTGATAACACAATCACCACAGCCGTCGTTCAATATAGCGGAAATTATACCCCGTCTTCCTCGCCACGCATGCCTGTTCTCCCGGCATTCAATGACACCAATTCATCGGTCGCTTTCACCGGAAAGCTTCGAAGCTTAGCTGATGAAAATCATCCCATAAATGTCCCACTCAATGTGACAACTAATTTGTTGTACACTGTTTCAGTCAATTTGTTTCCATGCCCGGATAATAACACGGCTCGGTGTGCTGGACCTAATTTAAGTAGGTTCGGGGCAAGTGTGAACAACATAAGCTTCGTTCTACCCAAAATAGACATTCTTCAAGCTTACTACAAACATATCAAGGGAGTTTATGGTACAGAGTTCCCTTCCTTTCCACCGCTCAGCTTTGACTTCACGAATGAAACTCTTCATGTTCGACTTCTGCAACCTGATCGAGGAACAGAAGTTAAAGTGCTTGAATATGGCACAACTGTGGAGCTTGTTTTCCAAGGAACAAATTTGTTGTCTGGGATCGATCATCCGATGCATTTGCATGGGTACAGTTTTTACGTTGTTGGTTGGGGTTTTGGTAATTTCAACAAGAGCAAAGACCCTCAGAGCTATAATCTCGTGGATCCACCTCTTGTGAACACAATTATTGTTCCTAGGAATGGTTGGACTGCCATTAGGTTCTTAGCTGATAATCCTGGTATGTAAATTTAATTATTACTCTGATCCGTACTATTAACATCTACATACATTTAATCCCAAAAACATCTAAATAGAGTCTTTGTTTTTTAAACGATCATATTATTTGTGTCGTTTCAAGATATATATAATCAAATACTATTCATAAATATTCCTTTACTTATTTCTTGAAACAGGGGTGTGGTTTATGCATTGTCATTTTGAACAACATACAAGTTGGGGCATGGAAATGGCCTTTATAGTGAAAGATGGAAAGCAGTCCAGTGAAAAAATGCTGCCATCTCCCTCGAATATGCCGAAATGTTGAAGACATAATTAATAACAATTGATAATATTATTAATTTATTTGAATCATTTTTTTTTTATTTCTTCATTTTTTATTTATTTATTTGTATTGTTTGCATAAATAAAAACCATCACTGTAATCATAATGTAATTTAAGGTTCTTCTCGTGTTACTGATGTTAATTATATTCCTCATTATAATTATTTGTAATTCCGCTTTATTTTAATTTGTTCTACTACGTACTATCTATTTGTTGTAGTATATATTTGTTATAAAGAAAATTGCTTATATTTATATCAATAATTTCAGGATCTTTACATCAATTAAAGAAAAAACTTATCTAACACCAACTAACCTCCGCCAACTACGACAGTAAACTCTACAATTAGAAATGCGAACAGTCACCAGAAAAAGAGAAACAAGAATCACTAACCACAAAACGGGCTTGACACATCTATCACTCGTCCTGCAAATTCGTAAACTTCTAACAACAAAAAATAAGCTAAATTTTCAATTATCTCGGCAAATCTGACATCATAGACTTTTTTTATCGTCCTAACATCATAGACTTTAACAAGAAACCAAACAACAAAATAACAATAATTAATATGATAAAACTCTCTCGAACCCTACCACCTCGTTCAACCCATATATGGTGGTGCTTCATGAGGAGGCTGGACCATCAGTACCGCTATGATTGATCTTTAATCGCCGGACGGACTCTAACCTTTTCTAAACCCGTCGCTCCCCAACCCTCGTTGCCCCTCGTACGTGCTCAAGCCGTTGCTCACCGCCGTTGTGGTCATGACACCACAACCTCTCGCGACTAGAGCAAGACTTCCGGCCAGGGTCTGCATATATTGAAGCTAAGAGAAAACAATCATGAACACTTTAAAATCCTCGATGAATTGAAGATAGCTTCGAGGCACCAAGCCTAATTCACAGACGAGCTGTGCATTGCCGCTAGGGTTTTCGTAACAACAACAAATTTAGAAAATGTCTTTATTTTTAATGTGAGATAATTACCCTAGGTGTGACTAAAACTCAATGCGTTTCCCAATCTATGACCTAACAAGTTTTTTTCCTAGAATATTATTAAAATTCGAAATATTTAATTAAAATTCGAAATAATTAAATAATAAATAATTTTTAGGGACAAATATACCCTTTAGGTTATACTATAAAATCCTAATCTTCTATTCCTTTTTCTCCAACCCTAGTTTCAGCCGCTCACATATAACCTTCGCCGCCCACCCACATGTTAACTTTTCTAGCTAGAAACACTCTTATATTGATGAATATACGAACTCAAGAGAGGGCAGATAACTCATACTTTCATTGAAATAACAAGGGGCTTTATATAGACATTTTACACTGAATAATAGCCACATAAACTAAGCAACTAACTCCTAAGAATTAGCCACATTCAAACATGTGAAACAGCTCCTGAATAATAGCCAACAACTTAAGACTAATTCAAACAATAATAAATGAATGATAAATGACATAACCGAACATCAAACAAATAATTAAAGTTATTATTCTAGCTTGATACACGTAAGCATGCAATCCCATGCATCAAGCTTGATAAGTTTCAACACCACCCCTTGATCAAAGTTTGCACATACCAATCCTCTTCATAAAATGACAATGCTTCTCGTAGTTCAAGGCTTTAGTAAATAGATCAGCATTTTACCATTCAGTGCCACAGAATTGAAGTGCAATCTTCCCTTTTGACACTAATTCCCTAATAAAATGATACTACACGTTTATGTGCTTTGTCCTTGAGTGATAAGCTGGATTCTTCGTCATAGCTATGGCAGATTTGTTGTCACACCATAGTTCAAGATTATCAGTTTCTTTGCAGCCCAAATCTACCATTAGTTTGCTTATCCAGATAGCATGTTTGGCTGCAGCTTCTGCAGCAACATATTCAGCTTCAGAAGATGATAATGCCAATGTTTCTTGCTTCTTTGAGCTCCATGTTATAGCTCCAGATCCCAGATCAAATACTGAGCAAGATGTACTTTTTCTATCATCAACACACCCAGCCCAATCACTATCAGTAAAGCCTCTCAGTTTGAAGTTCTTTGTACTGGAATACTGTAACACCCCCAAATTTCCCGCCCAAAACATTGATATAATTGAAATAAAACTTTTATTTATTGATAATGAAATTTAAAGAGTACAACGGAAGTCTAAAATAGGGAAATGGATGTTACCGCCACATTCGGTCATCTCTTAACCGAATGCACAGGCAACTCAAAGTAAAACAACAAAAACTAATGTAATAATAAGTAAATGTTTGTTTCATGACTATATTTAACTAAGGCAACTTCTAATTCGCTCTCAGGCACATGCATTCAACATTCAACATAACCATCATCACCTGCACAAATAAAGTGCAGAACAAAACAAAAGAAAGAAAACAAAAATTAGCTTTAGAGCTGAGTAAGTACTACCCAACCCCGTAAAATAATCAGGTTTGGAGAAAATAGTTTTTCATATAATATTATATAAAAATGACGCACTCCACCAAAAATACTTTTCCCTTTGATTTTTCTTAAAATTACTTCTTTACTAAAATCCTCAACTTCTCTTCGAAAATCTCTTAGTATCTCTTCTCTTTAAACTTCTTAAGAAAATCACTTCTTCTCTAACTTCCTAGTAATTTAGAAGGGCGGTGCTCAAACTTTCGACTGAGCCCGGTGGACCGTGGTTACGGACGGCCACCCCGAACAAGTGTCGGTACCACAACTGCTCTTGCGAAAACGAAACGACTATCTTAAGTGTGCACACCCCCTGAAAGGGATTCCAAGCCCTCCGAGTAGTAAGTCATCCCGAGTGGTCGGAACCCAACCACCCCAATTCTAAAATTCTTGAATGATTAGGGACTACTACTATAACTTCTTCTTAAAAGGGATCATAGATCCAAATCTTACTTAAAAGGGATCATAGATCCAAATCTTACTTAAAAGGGATCATAGATCCAAATCTCACTTGAAACTTAAACTGTACTTCTTAGTAGTAGTAGCTCTAATCACCCTCCACATTTATCCGGATGTGGAAAAACCGACACCTCGGATTACTCCCGAGATGCTCACTTCTTATAAAAATGTAAATTTTATCTTTGCTTAACAATACTTCAAAAACACTTCTTAATTTCTCTAAAAAGTCTCGAAGGTATTTAAAAATATTTAATACCCCAAAAGTACTTGATTTATATTTCTTAACTACCATATATATAATATCTCCTCAAAATCACATACACAAAATTCACAATTCACACTTAATCAAATAATGCATAATAAGCATATAATACGAGGAAACAATTTTGGATTGGCAGAGAAACTTACCTTAAGTCCTGATGCTCCTAGTTATCCTCCTCTAATCCGGTCTCTAGATAATCACCTTATTAATATGATAAAATTAGTCACTTATTCTATTGGTAATTACTTTACTCGATTTTCTCCTTTTATTTTATTATTCGAATTTATTAACTTAATTTATTAGTTATCCGGATTTATTTGATTACTCACTTTCTATTAATAAAATTACCTTATTAATCTCATCCATTAATTTACAATATTTGAAAAAAAATGTCCGAATATAATTAACTACAACACCTAATTTTTTATTCAATAATCACCATTAATTTACACTACTCATAAATTATTTTCTAATTACTTTATTTATATTAACCCATTAATTTATGAATTCAAATATTTTAAATATTTATATGAAGTCCGAATATCTAATAATTAATCATAAAAATTATTAATTGAGTTAGTCCACTAATTACATAACTAAGTTATTTATTAAGTCTACATATAGTCAATTATTTACGCTAGCTAACCCATCCTTATTTTATTTTCCTTATTTTATTCCAACATCATTTTTAGTCCAGAATATTATTTTTCAATCTCAGTGATTTATTTATTTCACCATTAATATTAATATTTCCTTATTTAATTACTTAACTAGTTTTATATGGCCTAATTTAAATAAATAGACTAAGAATCGACTTTATAAATTAATAACCGTCTATAACTATAATTTGGGTCTATATTTGACCTAGGTTGTCCAGATATCTATTTTATAATTATTTCCATAATTATTCATTGAATTTCATATATCTATTAACCGGTTCAATTACAATTAAATATACTAAATCTTAATATTTATTAATTATAAATGATCCATAAGGTCCTAGTTAGTCATATATTTATCCTAGTTTACTCCAATATTTATTTCATAATTATTTTCGTCAATTAGTTAATTATTTTCTAAATGTGTACAAATTGGCCCAATTACAATTAAATCAATTAAAAATAGCTAAAAATATTATTTTTCAATTCTGGTTGGTCCGAATATGTATATTTATACTAGGTATTTAATTTATATTTTTCCAGATTTTATTTATTTGATTTACTATTTTATTTTTAATTTTTATTAAAACTGGGCCGAACTGGCCCATTAAACCGACCCGGCCCAAGAGTTCTAACCCAGACAACTGGGTCATCTTCTCCAGGTCGTGATTCCGGCGACTTCGCCGGAAACTAGAAAACTCCGGCGAGCTATAACTTGACTTACAGGTAACGGATTTCAACGATTCAAGTTGCAAAATGATCCTTGCGGCGAGACGAAGCGGCGAGACGAAGCTCCTCCACCCCTATCTACGGCAAAATATCTGCTTTTTATAAAGACCCACTTCCACAACTTGCAACTCCAGCGAGCGATATCTCTCTCGTTTCACGACCGTTTTCTACGATTTTTTTCACCGTTGGATTCCTCTCTCGAAGGGGAAGGTTTCTAGGGTGTTTTCAGGGCTTGGTTCTAGATAAAACGATTTGTCGAAATATATATATATACGTATATATGTATATATATGGGGCTGTTTCTTGTATGAATAAAACGCAGGTCCTAGGCTATTATTTATAGGTATAGGTTGAGGCTTCAGGCTGTGTTAGAGTTGGAGTAGAATTTAATCGGCTTCTCCCGTAGTTATTCCGGTTGGTGTAGGAGTATAATTCGTAGGTAGTGATATTATATACTATATATATAGTTTACGGAGTATTGTACTATGTATATTATTAGGTAGGTAGTTATATAATAGGATTAGTACATATATATAATAGTTATATAATAGTATTGTACTACGTATATTATCAGTATATATTATTACGTAGGTAGTTATATAATAGGATTAGTACGT